ATATATAATTTTCATCACTATTGTTAATAATAATTTTACACACTATGGAGGACAGTACTTTTATTCCATGCTGTTGGTGCTGAGGATTAAACCGTTTACCCTTCAAGTGGAGAACTTTACTTCCTGGGCCCTGCAGTCCCTGAAGAGGCATTGTTAGTGATTGTTAGCAACATAGTTTCATTTTTGCCCAAAATGAGGGTAAAAATGTAACTGTGTTTCTGTGCGCAGTAGTTTGTTATATTTGTAAAATATACTTGAACCACGAGATCGGTAGTAATTAAACTTTGAGAAAGTATTCATTGGATATACATATATTCATTTGGTAGAAATAGTCAATTCCAAAACATACTCTGAGCACGATGCAGTAAAAGATCTTGTTTAGAATTCTAACAATAACTAATGGAGTCAACCATGTTTTGTTTTTGTTTTTTTGTTAGAAAAATATCTCATGATTCACTGGACAGCTTTTAATGAAATTCTCAGTCAGGCATCATTGGCTGTACTGTACTAATTAACTTTTATAGTGAACCCAATTCAAGACAGCGACCACTGCTAATCAGCTTTAGAAAATAATGACTATGGTGCAGTCATTTTTTACAGATATTAAACAAAAATTTGGTGTGGTAGTAGCTGACAGTAGTTCACAAGACATAATCCAAACAATAACTGATTGTGCAAGATCGTACAATATTTCATGTCTTTGGACATAATTTCATGGTGAAGAATTGACCAAAAAGGGCTAAAACATTTTTTAAAAGATGAAATTATCTTAGTTTAAGTGGCACGATGGCTCCGTTTGTAGAGCTGCCGCCTCTCAGCATGATGGTCGTCAGATAGAATCCCGACTGACAACCTTTATGGGTGGAGTTTGCATGTTCTCTCTGTGCATGCATAGATTTTCTCCGGGTACTCCGGTTTCCTCCCACAGACCAAAAACATGCATGTTAGGCTGATTGGTAACTCTAAACTGTCTCTAGGTGTGAGTGAGAGAGTGAATGGTTGTTTGTCTCGTTTGTCTCTGTGTCCCTGTGATGGACTGGAGACCTGTCCAGGGTGTCCCTTGCCTCTTACAGTGATTGCTGGACATGTGCACCAGTGACCCCAGCAACCCAAAACGGAAGAAGTGAGCAAAAGATGATGGATGGATGATAATTTAAAAATAGTGAAAGGTGGTGGACAACATACATCCCTTTGGGTATTGCTAGGCCTTGAAGCACGCTTATGATAATCCAACCCAAGACATCTTGAAAACAAAAATGCTGAAAGTGTTAAAGTGCTGAAATTAGTCTTTTCACATGTATTCATCAAATATTTTTTTTCCACATACTGTATATAATAAGCACATTGTTGTGTTTGCTTTTCACAAACCTTTGTAAAGTTTTCAGTTATTGAAGAGTTTAGATAAAAGATGGAGACAGACAGTTATTTAGTGGGTGGACATTATGCTGACTCAATAGATGCAAGACTGAAAAAAAAAAACTGTCACGGAGAAAAAAAAAACCATTTACACCCCACAGTGGCAACGATCCTGTCCCCTGCTTTTTCCATCTGTCACTCTCACCAGGCGTGTTTTGGTGACCATGCATAGTTTGTTTTACTAATCTATAGATATAGCTTGTGCTGTGTTACAATTTGAGATCATGCATGCTATTCTTTGTGTAGTCCTTATATTAATAATTATAATCATAGCATTTAAATGTGTAATTGATAAAATTATACTTTTTGTTTGTTTGTTGGTGCAGTATAACAGAAGTAATAGTATTAGAGTTATTGTCAAGATCACTGCACTGTATGGGTCCATACCACAACTAGGAGGGAATTCATATTTAGCATATCCCTTAGGTGTTTATTATCACTGCATCACATACACTGACAAGTGTTTTCTTGTTTGTTTGTTTTTGAACGTACTGGCAATGACTCAGTTGGTTTTGGTTATAGTAAATACTATAAAGAATGCTATGAAGCAAATGTTAGTTTTAATATTAAAATAATAAAACACCAACAAACACACAACATTCCAAGGTTTGTCTTGACAAGAATAGTGACACAACTTCAAACGCCCCATAAGTCCTGAATAGATCCACTGATAATGAGTTCATGTGCTCGTTGGACATTTTTATGAATCATACCTGTAATTATAAAATGTTGCAAACAAGGTCACCTGGTTTTAGTTTGATCCAAACTATGAGGACTTATGACCCCCCATTTTCAGATATACTTTCAACAGGACCCTGTGTTTGGACTATACTGTAAGTAATTCACACGCATCCCGGAAGACATTTGCAAAGAATTTTCAAATATGTAAAACACAAGTCTTTGCCTGTGTTGGCAGCTTTTCTTCTTCTCCTTCTTCTTCTTCATGCAGTCCTGCAACAGCAACTGCAGGGACAGCGTGTTCAAACTCCAGAGAGCGCTCAGCACCCTCCGCAGGCAGGCTGCCTGATTGGCTGAGAGCTGGCTGTGATGTCACCGCTGCATGTTATAAGGGCTCTGACAAATAGCCTGTGAGACACATTAGAGGAAACGCTGCTCAACTGACAGACTGAGGAGAGAAACACCCTAAGATTGAAAAAAAGTGGAATGGGATACTTAGCTGCGCACTAACTACCTGTTGAGGTTTGTAGTTTTGCAGCTTTCAGTTTTTTTTTTTTTAGTTTAGTTTTCTTTTAGCTTGCATCATTTTTAAAGCATGCTGGTTTTTATTAGACTGTTTTTTAAATTATGTTGTTTTGTGAATGATTTAATGTTATACATTTTTGGAAAAGTAGTAGTGGTAGTTTCAGTAGACATATCAAACCTTTTGTTACATTATATCTTCCTTTTTTCAGCAATTTTACATTAAAATTGTCATGTTTATTCACAAATACGTTTGTATGTCTCTCTGTGTGTGTCTGTGTGTGTTTTGATATGCATACCGATGTATGCATGTTTGTCGTCCATGTCCGATCTCTTTTTAGATGAATTCTACAACCACTTCAGTTGACAACTCATCATCGCCCAAGAATGAGGAAAACAGCGACACAGTCATGATCCTGCTGGGCATGATCATGTCTATTCTAGTTCTGTTCATCGTTCTTGGCAACATTCTGGTGATAACAGCAATTTCCCGCTTCCAGCGTCTCCAGAGTGTCACCAACTGCTTCATCACATCTCTGGCCTGTGCAGACCTGGTCATGGGTCTCATTGTGGTCCCCTTTGGTGCCAGCAACATCATCTTTAAGTCTTGGCACTTTGGTAATTTCTGGTGCGATTTCTGGACTGCGACTGACGTGCTCTGTGTGACCGCAAGCATCGAGACCTTATGTGTTATAGCCATAGACCGCTACTTGGCCATCACGTCACCTTTTCGCTACCAGTCAATGTTGACAAAGTGCAAAGCTCGAATTGTGATTCTGCTGGTGTGGGTGATAGCGGCACTGATATCATACCTGCCTATTCACATGAAGTGGGGCTTATCAAAGGATCCAGTAGCCCAGGCCTGCCTTAACAACACTACCTGCTGCGAGTTTAATGTCAACGTAGAATATGGCATCATCTCGTCTATCATCTCCTTCTACATCCCTTTGATCATTATGATTTTTGTTTACAGCCGTGTTTTCCAGGAGGCCAAGAAACAACTGAAAAAGATTGACCAAAGCGTTGGCCGCTTTCAGAAGAGCAACAGTGACGATGGTAAATCTTTAGAAAGCACCACTGGGCGTGGACTAAAAAAGGCCAAGTTTTGCCTTCGAGAACACAAAGCTCTTAAGACATTGGGTATCATCATGGGAGTCTTTACTTTATGCTGGTTGCCATTCTTTCTGCTCAACGTAGTGGTAACCATATGCAATGAAGAGTTCAAACTCCCCTACACGGTTCTCAACTGGATAGGTTATTCAAATTCTGCCTTCAACCCCATCATTTACTGCCGGAGTCCTGATTTCAGGTACGCTTTCATGGAAATCCTCTGTTTGAACAAAAACCGTCTCAGTAACCCAGGACCTGTGAACGGATATGTGTACAGCAGGCACAGCTGGCAGAGTGAGCCACAACAGAGGAGTAAGGGCAGCTTGGATGATGATGACGCCAACAAAAGGTGTCTGCCAAAGGGAGCCGGGGTCTGCTGCCTTAAGGACAAATCAGTAGACCCAAACGGCAACAACAAAAGCCTGTCAACTGTAACAACTGCCCTGTAAACATAAAGCTCTGAGACTTCATTAAGCAGTGAAACTCAGCTGTGTTTACATTGCCATCACACATGTTTTTTCATCCCTTATTTACTGATGAAGGTAAGGCCAGTCGATGTGACTTGCACAGTCTCTGATAACTGCTTTAAAGAAACTGCAATAATCATTATGAGCTGAGGGAAGTGTTCCATTTATATTGTAGAACTGTTTTTACACAGATCATAATTATTTTGCATCTACCTCATCACAGCTTTATAAAGTTTTTGTCTTATGTTTTTGTTTTGTTTTTTACAATATGCCAACATTAGATAGGCATGTGTTTAAGTTGTGCATTAACTCAAATAAATGGTCCGTGAATGGCATAATTACAGATGATCTGCTTTTAGCAAACATTTCCTGTTATCAACCTTTTTTTTTAATATGTCACAATTTTTATTAGCATAGTTTGATTTTTTTTAACTTTTTTATTTAAGCTTAAAAAGTGTTGAAAGCTTGTTTGATTCCAGGGTGCACCTTTCGCCATTTAAAACAATAAATTAATTAATTAGCATCGCAGGTTGCCAGGCAGACGGACTGCATCTCTTTGGTACTTTAAAATACATTCCTTATTTGATTAGTCTAATTTGATATCTGGTTTTTTTTTTCTACATTTTTATTTAATCTTTTTATCTGTGTGGTTGTAGGAGCTTTACAGATTAGAAGAAGAAGAAAAAAAAGAACGAACTGTAAAGCAGGAAATGTCTGCATCCTGCTCTGGTGTTTTGCACACTGTTGCATGTGAGTTTCTGTGGTCAGCAGAACCCACTAGAGACACGAACGTTTGCAGATATGAATTTTACTGACGAGCTGAAAGACGCCCTTGGGTATCCTCTGCTGAAAAACTTTGATAAAACTTGAACGTTTGTGTTGTATCACCAAGACAAAGTTACGAACCATAGAAATACTTGACATCTTAAAGGAGCAAATTGATGGCATTGATGATAATGTTGTACATTTCCCTTCAATGCTTACTGGGGTTTTGAATTCCCCCCAAAAATCTATTTATTTGTTTATTTATTTATTCGTGTATGGTTTGCAGCAACTCAAATCTGTTGCATTCTAGCAGTCGGTTCAAATGTGCATGGAACATTTAGGTTGATTTTATTGTTGTTGCAAAAACATTAAAGAACTAGTAAGCTGTTGCATCAGTAGTTAATGTCCTCTAAGTTGCACAAGTTGATTAAAAAAAAAGTTGTGTTTCAGTAGCTGTTGTGCTTACTGAAACCAGATAAGTCATTTCCTCACAAGACAAGGGTACAAACCATATATATTAATAATAAAAAATCACGATGTCAACGTGACCAAGTTATAAATTCCAGGTTCAGGACACGGTGGAGGCCACTACGTGCCAGTAAACAGCTGTCCAAAAACATCACTGCTCCTAAAGAGTGCACCTTTTGTCACCGCCTCCCTCTGACATTTCCCAGACTCTTTTCTTGTATGTCTGGACGTCTCTGCACGTCTGACATCAGTGAAACAGTTGGATAAAACATTTGGGAGCCCGCGCCTCAGCTGTTCCAGTTGTTTCACCCAGTTTCAGTCAGTCTTCTTTAAATGCTTCTGACTGTGCAGTTTACAAGAAATGCCTCGATCCAGCTGAGGCCAGCCCCAATAAAAATGAATAATGCATTATCTCTGGTGTTTAGCAGGAGAATCAGATGAGTCATGGGTAAAAAATAACATTACCATTTAAATGGATAAGTAGATTAACAAGTTTCCAATTGGCAGGTTATGATGAGATCCAAAGGTCCACTGAAAATGAGACTTTATCGCCCATTTTGGAATCGCAGGCTGCTGGGGATTTTTTTCTCGACTTGAGGGAGGCTGTAATAGATGTTGAGCACTTACCATGCAGAACATTAATTGAGGATTTCTCCTTTTTCTTCAGACTAAATTGCTTCTGAGATCATTAGGGTAAATAGGGGTAATGAAGGTGTGACCGTTCACTTATTGCCTGAGTCGAGCTCTCTATTTGGTCAGATCCAAGTGACAACACATTAAAGTTAGCTTTCAAAACTGGGAGGGGGAAGCAGAGATTTTCTGCCAGTCTAAACTAGTGCCACTGCATGCCGCATTGCCTCGGTGTGTGGACTTAGATCAGCTGACTCTGACAAAACTGTGAACTTTGTTCTTTCAGAGAAAATCTCAACGTACTGTAATCACAAGCTTTGCTCTTATCATGGACCCCAGCAATAGACACAAGCTCAGCGTCTCTGCACGTCAATGTTTGCTGTGCACAAAGCAAGCTTTCCCGCATGTCAATCTCTCTCCCTGCTTTTCCTTCAGTGCTGATTTACTGCAAAGTAAATGCAGAGGCTGAATGTCACGACAAAATGTTCCTCAGCATTTTTTATTTATTTATTTATTTATTCCCCCCCACATTTTGACTGCACTGTGTGCACAGATCTGGTGAAGTTATTAGATCCAGTTTTCAGATTTCATTTAAAAATTCTCACGAGATTATACTGTGCTGTTTGTTTTTTTTTAGTCTTTAAGACTTGTGATTTTAAAAGCACTGCGCAGGTGATTGTTTGCATGTCTGCTGTATACTTGTAGTGTTGTATTTGTGGATTTATGTGCTATTTTCATTTCACGGTGACTTCTTTTAGTCCATTGTGCTTTTGAACCATACCTCCATACTGCTACCTCCTGGCAGTGGCCTGTCCTTGCACCTTAGCTGTCTGTCTCCCAGTTATAAATGGCTACTGTTTTTGTCAATATGCCTGTATATTAAGGAATGCACTTCATGCCTTGAGGACACGATGCTGTTATGTGCAATGAGTCTTGAATGATGGGTTGACATTACGACATTCCAGGCACAGCTGGTGTTTTATATCATGCCTTCGGTGCACATTCAGTCCTCCCACCAATGTTTTGTCTCAGATTACCAACTGATGGACTTATTACATCTAAAACAAAAGAGCCTTTTTCATGAGGATTATGGGTTACCACAGACAAGTCTTAGAGGCAGTATAATAATTTTGGTCTGTTCAAATCTCACATATTTCAAGGTAACTGAATGCAGTGTACAAGTCATTGACTGAAGTGTTGGTGTGATTCAAGTTTATGTGGGCTAATGCCAGTAGTGTCCCTGAAGGTTCACTTTTGTTTTGAGGAATAAAAGTCACTTTGTTCCAAAAAAAAAAAAAAAAAAAAACACTCTCGTGATGCAGATCAGGTCGTTCATCTTCCTAAAGCAGCACTTTGTGGAGCAATTTCATGACACAGTTGGAGATATTTTGAAAACTTGAGCACAAATTTGAACCCGTTAGCCATTTAGAAACAAAAATATGTCCATTCACTGATATCATAATATATAATTTTTGTGGAAGTTCCCCTGAAGAGTCGTAAGAAATCTGAGTAGCTGCACAGAAGTTTCTCAAGGTGAACAACAGAAATGTGAATTTCCATTCAGTTGAAATATTGCTTTAACTGTCGTGTGGTAATTTTATTTTAAATGTGGTCAGAGTGAAAACACTTTCACTCCGCTGAATGTTTACTAAATGTGTGCGAGTTATTTACGCACAAGTTTCTGTCCTTGTTTGTTCAGATCTGTTATAATATTTGGTGCCCTGTGGTATTTATTGAAAAAAGACAAGTGTGTGATGTAATGTTTTTATTAAAAAGAAATAAATTATGTTCATGTTGCATGTAATGTTTTCATTGCTGCATCTTTTATATTTTATTATTTAGTGAAGAGTGGATTTTTTTTTGTTTTTTTCTGATTCTAAGCGGTTAAATCTGTTTCACTTTGGGCAAAAAAAGAAAAAAGAAAAACCTCAGCATGTGATCCAGAGGAGATGATCCAAGAAGGAGATGGGGATGTTATGAAAATATTTTTACAGTCCATTTGAAAGTACATGACAGCCCTTTGCTCCAAGCAGTCGTAGAATATATGGAGCAAAACGCTTAAATCTAATCAAAGGGAGGAGCACAGTGAACGTGTAGATTTAGATGGTGAAGATAGAGGCAGCAGATTCAACATGTCTCAGTATTTGGCAATTTTGATGGGGTGGAGAGTGATTTTTAGACATAACGTTGTGCAAACTGAAGACAAAGTAGGTTATGGTTTGTTGGAGGTAAAGTGTGATGGGAAACAGTGAACCATGACAAGGAAATGAACACGTTTTCTCAGTGACAGAACATTTTACAGCTACAAGACAGTGTTGCATACTGAACATGATGTACTAGTTGTAATCTCTCAGTCATGTAGTCAAAGTAGTAAAATGAGAGTGTTCAAAGTAATAACAAACCAGTCTTATCGTTTTAACTACTGTACAGTACAGTGCAGTCAGTTCCATTTTAAAAGATCCATATTTGCTATCAGTTTATACATTTCTTACTCACAGCAGTTAAAGTGTACAGTGAAGTTACAGCACTGTCAACTGAAACATGTCAAGTCGAAATGCTCTGCAATTATTCAATTATTCTAAATAATAAAAATAAATATATAGATTTAAATATTGTGTAAGAGATTGAACTTTCGTTACCAGACTTGTCTTGTTAGCGCAACGAAAATATGCAGCATTCATATATATATATATATATATATATATATATATATATATATATATACACATATACACACACACACACCCCACACCCCCGGGGCAGCTCACGTCCTCAGTGGTTGCCACAGCAAACTAACTTGCATGAAGGCTTGGTAATTGTTTTATTGCTTTTAATGCCGGATGCTCTTCCTGACACAGCCACAGACCACAGAGCTACCACAGTACTCTGTGTGGGGCAGAGAGCTGCTATCTAGGGCACCCGGGGAAGCAGATGGTGGGGGTTAAG